AAAAGCCCTTTGTAACTCTGGAGGGGAGTGAGTGGAATGTTACTCAGAACAGGGAGGAATTATCAACAGTGAAAGCCGTTTAACAACAAAATGGTCTGCTTTGGAAAGTAGTAAGTTCCCTATCATTGCAAGTTTTCACTTCAAGGCACAGTGTCCACTTGTCCAGGCTGCATTAGAGGGTGTCGTGGATTAAAGTGTGCTCCCAAAAATATGTGTTGTAAATCCTAACCCCTGTACCTGTGGATGTAATCCCATTTGGGAATAGAGATTTCTTTGTTATGTTGATGAGGCCATTTACATGTAGGGTATGTCTTAAGCCAGTCACTTTTTGAGATATAAAAGAGCCGATCAGGCACAGGAGAAAGCAAGCACAGATGAAAGATAGATGCCATGCCACTTGAAGATCTCCCAGGAACCAAGGAACAGAAGCCGAAAAGAGGCAAGGACTAGAGCCACACAGAGAGAAAGACTTCCTCTAGAGCCAGTGCCCTGAATTCAGGCTTCTAGCCTCCTGAACTGTGAGAAAATAAATTTCTGTTTTTTAAAGCCACCCACTTGTGATATTTCTATTACAGCAGCACTAGATAACTAAGAGAGCATTCCTTTATTGGGCATGGGTTTAGACTAGATCATCTCCAGAGTTCTTTTCAGCTCTGAAATTCTACAACAAACATTAGGCACCTACTTCTGGATTCAGAAGAGGACGTGGAATGAAGGATATCATTGTTAATGTCAGATGGATCTTGGCTGAAAGTAGAAAATACCAGAAAGATTAACCTGTGTTTTATTGACTACGCAAAGGCATTTGACTGTGTGGATCATAACAAATTATAGATAACATTGCAAAGAATGGGAATTCCAGAACACTTAACTGTGCTCATGAGGAACCAAAGCACAATTAAGCTGTTCCAAGAGACCAAGGGGATACTGCATAGTTTAAAATCAGGAGAGGTATGTGTCAGAGTTGTATCCTTTTACCGTACTTTTTCAACCTGCATGCTGAGCAAATAATCTGAGAAGCTGGACTATATGAAGAAGAATGGGGCGTCAGGATTGGAGGAAGACTCAATAACACCCTGTGATATGTAGATGAAACAACCTTGCTTGTTGAAAGTGAAGAGGACTTGAAGCACTTACTGATGAAGATGGAAAGACTACAGCCTTCAGAATGAATTACACCTCAACATAAAGACAACAAAAATCCTCACAACTGGACCAATAAGCAACATCATGATTGTTGTTGTTGTTGCTAGGTACTGTCAAGTCGATTCCGACCCATAGCGACCCTATGTTCTGTAGAACAAAACACTTTCTGGTCTTGCACCATGCTCACAATTGTTGTTATGCTTGAACCCATTGTTGCAGCTACTGTGGCAGTCCAACTCATTGAGGGTCTTCGTCTTTTTTGCTGACCCTCTACTTTGCCAGGCATGATGTCCTTCTCCGGAGACTGATCCCTCCTGATAACATGTCCAGAGTATGTAAGACGTAGTCTCACCATCCTTGCTTGTAAGGAGCACTTTGGCTGTACTTCTTCCAAGACACATTTGTTGGTTCTTTTGGCAGTCCATGGTATATTCAATATTTTTCGCCAACACCACTATTCAAAGGTGTCAGTTCTTTGATCTTCCTTATTTGTTGTCCAGCTTTTGCATACATATGATGCAAGTGAAAATACCATGGCTAGGGTCAGGCCCACCTTAGTCTTCAAAGTGACATTTTGCTTTTCAACACTTTAAAAAGGTCTTTGGCAGCAGATTTGCCCAGTGCAGTTCGTCTTTTGATTTCTTGACTGCTGCTTCCATGGATATTGATTGTGGATCCAAATAAAATGAAATTCTTGACAACCTCAGTCTTTTCTCCATGTACCATGATGTTGCTTATTGGTCCAGTTGTGAGGATTTTTGTTTTCTTTATGTTGAGATGTAATCCATACTGAAGGCTGTGGTCTTTGATCTTCATCAGTAAGTGCTTCAAGCCCTCTTTATTTCAACAAGCAAGGTTGTGTCATCTGCATAACACAGGTTGTTAATGCATCTTCCTCCAATCCTTATGCCCCATTCTTCTTCATACAGTCCAGCTTCTGAGATTATTTGCTCAGCATACAGATTGAATAAGTATGGTGAAAGAATACAACCCTGATGCACACCTTTCCTGACTTTAAACCACACAGTATCCCCTTGTTCTGTCTCAACAACTGCTTCTTGATCTGTGTACAGGTTCCTCATGAGCACAATTAATTGTTCTGGAATTCCCATTCTTCACAATGTTATCTATAATTTGTTGTGATCCACACAGTTGAATGCCTTTGCATAGTCAATAAAACACAGGTAAACATCTTTCTGGTATTCTCTGCTTTCAGCCAGGATCCATCTGACATCAGCAATGATATCTCTGGTCCCACATCCTCTTCTGAATCCAGCCTGAATTTCTGGAAGTTCCCTATTGATACAGTGCTACAGCTGCTTTTGAATGATCTTCAGCAAAATTTTACCTGTGTGTGATATTAATGATATTTTTCCATAATTTCCGCATTCAGTTGGATCACCTTTCTTGGAAATAGGCATAAATATGGATCTGTTCCAGTCGGTTGGCCAGGTAGCTGTCTTCCAAATTTCTTGGCATAGACAAGTGAGCACTTCCAGCACTGCATCCGTTTGTTGAAACATCTTAGTTGCTATTCCATCAATTCCTGAAGCCTTGTTTTTTGCCAGTGCCTTCAGTGCAGCTTGGACTTCTTTCTTCAGTACCATCGGTTCCTTATCATACGCTACCTTGTGAAATGGTTGAACATCGACCCATTCCTTTTGGTATAATGATTCTGTGTATTCCTTCCATCTTCTTTTGATGCTTCCTGCATCATTTAATATTTTCCCTATAGAATCCTTCACTATTGCAACTCAAGGCTTGAATTTTTTCTTCAGTTCTTTCAGCTTAAGAAATGCCAAGCGTATTCTTCCCTTTTGGTTTTCTATCTTCCGCTTTTTGCACATGTCATTATAATACTTTACTTTGTCTTCTCAAGCCACCCTTTGAAATCTTCTGTTCAATTATTTTACTTCATCATTTCTTCCTTTTGCTTTAGCTACTTGATTTTCAAGAGCAAGTTTAAGAGTCTTTTCTGACATTCATTTTGGTCCTTTCTTTCTTTCCTGTCTTTTTAATGACCTCTTGCTTTCTTCCATTACAATGTCCTTGATGTCATGCCACACCTTGTCTGGTCTTTGGTCATTAGTGTTCAACCCGTCAAATCTCTCCTTGAGATGGTCTCTAAATTCAGTCAGTACGGACTACAAAGTCAAACATTTGGTCGTACTTTGGCTTTCGTGGACTTGTTCTAATTTTCTTCAGTTTCAACTTGAACTTGCATATGAGAAATTGATGGTCTGTTCAGCAGTCAGCCCCTGGCCTTGTTCTGACTGATGATATTGAGCTTTTCCATCATCTCTTTTCATAGAGTAGTCAATTTGATTCCTGTGTATTCCATCTGGCAAGGTCCATGTGTATAGTCGCCATTTATGTTGGTGAAAAAAGGTATTTGCGATGAAGAAGTCCCTGGTCTTGTAAAATTTTATCATGCGATCTCCAGCATCATTTCTGTCACCAAGGCCATATTTTCCAACTGCTGATCCTTCTTCTTTGTTTCTGACTTTCACATTCCAATCACCAGTAATTGTCAATGCATCCTAGTTGCATGTTTGATCAATTACTGACTGCAGAAGCTGGTAAAAATCTTCAATTTGTTCATCTTTGGCCTTAGTGGTTAGTGTGTAAACTTGAATAATAGTCGTATTATCTGGTCTTCCTTGTAGGCGTATGGATATTATCCTGTCACTGACAACGTTGTACTTCAGGATAGATCTTGAAATATTCTTTTAGGTAATGATAAACATTTGATGATGATGAACATCGTGATAAACAGAAAAAACATTGAAGTTGTCAAGAACTTCATTTTACTTGGATCAACAGTCAACGCTCATAGAAGCAGCAGTCAAGAAATCAAACGATGTATTGCATTGGAAAAATCTGCTGCAAAATACCTCTCTAAGTGTTGAAAAGCAGAGATATCACTTTTTGAGGACTAAGGTGCACCTGACCCAAACCATGGTATTTTCCATCACCTCTTATGCATGTGAAAGCTGGACAATGAATAAGGAAGACCAAAGAAAAATTGATGCCTTTGAATTATGGTGTTGGTGAAGAATATTGAATATATCATGGACTGCCAAAAGAATGAACAAATCTGTCTTGGAAGAAGTATAGCCAGAATACTCATTAGAAGCGAGTATGATGAGACTTCATCTAACATATTTTGGACATGTTATCAGGAGGGTCCATTCCCTTGAGAAGGACATCATGCTTGATAAAGTAGAAGGTCAGCGAAAAAGAGGAAGACCATCAATGAGATGGACTGACACAGTGGCTGCAATAATGGGCTCAAACATAGCAATGATTTTGAGGATGGTGCAGGACCAAGCAGTGTTTCTTTCTGTTGCCCATGGGCTCACTATGAGTCATCGGAACCGACTCGACAGCACCTAACGGCAACAGTGGGAACTTGCATAAACGTTTTCAAGTCTCAGCCATACTTTTTTCATCTACAGAATGGAGATAGTAAATACTTACTTCATCAGTTGTGAAGTATAGGCACTTTAATACATTATCTTATTTAACATGGTGCCTAGAGTATTGTAGACAGTTGACAAATTGTAATTGTAATTCCTTTCCCTTCCCATTGCCTTTTCCCTGAAAGCAAAGCTGTGACTCTTTCCAAGCTGTAGAGAATTTTGGCACAGAGCCTCCTCTCCTCTCCCTGTGGTCTTTGGGGAATGAAAATGTGTCATCTCACAGGGAAGCCCTTCCACAGACAATTGGAAGCTCTGGCAATTAGAAGGTTTCCTTATGTCAAGTAGCAGTTGGCTTCTGTTTCAGAAAAGGGCATAGCCGGCTTCCATTCCTTGTAGCTAAGGCTGATGCTTAAATTTTTTCTTGCTCTGCAGTGAACAGAGTATCTGCCAAGCTCGGGCTTCCGTGATGGTCTACGATGACACCAGTAAGAAATGGATACCAATCAAACCTGGCCAGCAGGGATTCAGCCGGATCAACATCTACCACAACACTGCCAGCAACACCTTCAGAGTCGTGGGAGTCAAGCTACAGGATCAGCAGGTGAGTGCCAGGGTATCAGATTTTAACACAGGCATTCAACATGCATACACACACGCGCACGCACACACACATACACACACGTAGAGTGAAAAGAGGTAAAAAAACAAACAAGATCACGATTTGGAGTCAGAGGATCTAGGCTCAAATTCTGCCTCTACTACTTAGTAGGTATGAGACTTCTGGACTTCAGTTTTCTCATCTGTCAGACAGAGACAATAATCACAGCCTGCCTGCTTTACAGGGTTATTGTCAGAACATAGTAAAATAATAGATGTGAAACAACTTTGAAAAGTATAACCTATTGTACAAATGTGTTAGTCTTATTCTAAACCTACATATTCATATGTAATGTGGCTGTTAAGATTTTTGGTCCATCAACCCCATAGGTCCTACTTTGGAAGGAGTGTCAAGATGATTTGGGGAATCCGGGATCATTTCTCTCCCTAATAGTATATCCTGGACAAATCGGATAAGATAGTGTTTGTGAGTGTACCTGGTAAATACCTGTGCAAATACAAGATAGCAGCTGTGCCCAGCTATGTCATGAGTAATTGTATACACATAACTAAGACAAAGTAGTGTGACGACCTGGACTAAAATAGAAACGTGGAAAAGGAGTTGTCTAGCTTAACCACAGCGACTTTGGTGAATAGTTTAATGCTCTCCCTCCACCTCTCTTCTTAAATATTGACAAGGACATTTTTAGCCATAAAGTTAGCAGATCTGTGGTTTCAGTGTTTATGAAAACTCTCCTCAAACAACATCTTCTGGCAGCCTTTGTTGGTCAAGCCTTGGCTAAATTGAGCTGCAGATTGGCTGCTGTCTCTGTAAGAATCAACATGCTAGCAATTAGAAAAGAGAGAACCAAAACCTCGGGCTCTATTTTCAGTGTATTGTTGCTGTTGAATGGGTTGCTGCTGTGGCCAAAATAGCCCTATTAAGTTTCAGATTCTTGTGGTGAAAAGGGACATCCCTACTTCAGCATTCTCCATAAAGGGTAGTCTGTCTAAACTTGAACTCCTGGTACTCCCAAAGACTGATTTGCATAGATCTATCTTCCAGTCAGTACGGACTACAGAGTCAAACATTTTAAAAGAGACAAAAATTACTCGGGACCTTTCCCTTGTTAATGAGCCTTAATGGTAGAAAGATTTTTCTGGAAACCTTTGAGGAGCTGCCTCCCTGTTCTTCCAAGTCACTGGTTCTAGATCTGCCTTTCAGAAAAACTGGCCACACATTGCAGGATATGTAGTGTCCCTGTCCTCAATTATGGTAACAACCAAAAACATATTACAAATTTCCAGAATACCCCATGCGTAGGAGGTGGACCTGGTTGAGAGCCTTTGACATAAGGTGACTATCTAGCACAGTTCCCAAATCATAGTAGGTGTTTCCTAAGTGATTGCTTTTATTATGGCAAGTTTCCCATTCCCTTCTTACCTCGTGGTCACCCTCCAGAGCACACTAGGAAGACAGCATGATGTGCTGGAAAGGGTGCTGGGCTGGGGGACTGGATTCCCTGAAACCCAACTGCACTTTGTTCTCAGAAAGTTTAATACCTCACTGCCTAGTTGAGAGGAAACCACATCTTGGGGCTTATTTGGGAGGGGACCTTTTTCCCACCCAGGGAGGGATTGGCAGCAATCCTCTGTGATCTTCTTTACAGATTCAAAGATACCATGTTGATTCTAATTTAGAGGTCTCCTAGAGTCTGACAGAGAAGTTATGAACACAGCCTTCCACTTGGAATTGCATGTTCAAGAGACAGGCTTCTAAGATGTGGTTGATACTGTCTCCCCAAATGGATAGGAAGTGTTAGTTAAGAACATAAAGGAGACTTTTTGTAAACCAAGGCATTAGAGAGGAGGAATAAGAGGAAACCTGGCTTGTAATAACTTTTAGGGACCTAAGGAGAAAAGTTTGATTTTCACATATCTGTTTTCCAGTCAGTATGGACTTCAAGGTCGGACATTTTAAGAGAGACAAAAATTGCTGATTTTGTAACCAAGAAGGAATATATTACATGTGTAATGCTGTTTATGGCTTATGGAGCACTTTTGTGTCAGTTTCAATCTCCCAATAATCCCATGAGGACAGCGCTGCAGGAATTATCATCCTCCTTTTGATAAATAGAAGAATATAAAACCAGGTGATCATTTGTGGAGTAAAAGACTGGCAAGATGTAGTATCATTAGCCAAGGTCTAACCTGAATCTCTAAGAAGCAAAGATGTCACTTTGAGGACTAAGGTTCGCCTGACCCAAGCCATAGTCTTTTCAGTAGCTTCATATACGTGTGAAAGCTGAACAGTGAGAAAAGAAGACTTGATGCATCCAAATTGTGATGTTGGCAGAGAATATTGACTATACCGTGATATCAGAAGAATGAACAAATCAGTCTTAGAAGAAATTCAATCAGAATGTTCCTTAGAAGCAAGAATGGCAAGACTTCATCTTGCTTATTTTGGACACATCAGAAAAGACCAATATCTAGAAAATGACATCATGTTTAGTAAAGTAAAGGGTCAGCGAAAACAAGGGAAACCCTCAATGAGATGGATTGACACAATAGCCTCAACAGTGGACTCAAACGTACCAATGATCATGAAGATGGCACAGGACCAGGTAGCATTTCATTCTGTTCTACATAAAGCTGCCATGAGTTGGAACCAAGAAGCCTGAATCTCACATTGAGGACAAAAAGGCTAAAAGATTTTTAGTTGAGAATGAGTTATGGCCACCGAAAATGTTAGTGAGTTCTCAGCCTGAATCAACGGAAGTAGAGTGTCCAGAAGAAGGGAGATTATAGACCTGCTGTGCTTTGCACTGTACTGGTCATGCTTCACCATGAATGTTGGGCCCAAAACTGAGTGCCACAAACTGGAATCTCTGAGGAGGACTTCCAAACTGATGAGCAGTCTGAAAGCAGCCTCATCGGTGGACAGTTGAACAAGCGATATTTACCTGGTGAAGAGAAGACTGTAATGGAGGAGAAATCTTATCTTTTCTATGACCCTAGAGAACAGAATTCGAAACACTGTATGGATACTATAGGGAAAAAGATTTAAACTCATTAAAAGGAAGAACTTTCTTACAAACACAGTCAAAGATGGGATGAGTTGCCTTGCAAGCCCGTGAGGCTTGATGGCCATTTAGGAAGAATGATGGGAAGGACGTTCCATTATTGGATAAAGGTTTGAATGTGATGACCTTACAGGCCTTGCCAACCTGTAGATTCTGTGGTTTTAGAGCCGGTTGAATATGTGGGACCAGGAAGATAGTTCTCCAACATCAAGCTTTTTTTTTTTTTTTTTGTAATAGGCTCTTGACTGTTTTTATCATAGTTCGCAGAAACATGTTAGTGTTGAAACACGTTAGTATTTGGAGTGGCAAGGCCTTCCTTTAAAAGAACAAGAAAGGTAGTCCCCCTTGCTTCTGCGCTCCCCAAAATAAGACATATGCAAACTATTTAAAAAGTACAACCACTTAAAAAATAGGTTTATCCCTCAGCAAGTATCTAGATCAGTCATGCCAAAGCACGGAGAATTATTTTTAAAATAAAGCTGATAAGGAAACATAGGTTGAAAATAAAAAGTTGAAAAAGATAAACCATACAAACACTAATCAGAAGAAACTGGTGTGACTATATTAATATCAGATAAAATAGCCTTTAAGGCAAGAAGTATTGCTAAAGATAAAGAGGCACCTTTATAATGATGAACGGGTCAGTTGAAAAGGAAGGCATAATCCTAAATTTGTACACATCTAATAATGTATCCTCAAAATATATAAAGCAAAAATGGACATATCTAAAAGGAAGATAGACAAATCCAGAAGCATATTTGGAGATTTCAGCCATACTTCTAAGTAACTGACTGAACAAGTAGACAAATCAGTAAAGACAGAAATTTTGAATAGCATTATTAACCAACTTGACCTAATTTACATTTATAGAAACTGCAGCCAATAGCTATAGAATATACAATCTTCTCAAGTGTACATGGAACATTTACCAAAATAGACGATATGCTAGGCTGTAAAGCAAGCCTTAACGAATTAAAAGGGATCAAAATCATACATAATATGTTCTTTGACCACAGAGAGATTAAACTAGAAATCAGTAACAGAAGGATAACTAGAAACTTTCAAATGTTTAAAAATTGAGCAGTATACTACTAAAGAAGCCAAGGACAAAATGAAATCAGAATGTAAATTAGAAAGTATGTTGAACTGAACAATAATGAATATACTACGTGGCAAAACTTGTGGGGTGCAACTAAACCAGTAGATATAAGGAAATTTACAGCTATAAATACATACATTAAAAAAATGAATGACTGAAAATCAGTGATCAAAGCTTCTATCTCAAGAAAGTAGATAGAACAAAAGCAAATTAAATTCAATAAAAGTAGAAGGAAGGGGGTAAAAAAACCAAGAACAAAAACCAATAAAATAGAAAGCAGATATACAATCTTTTTTTGTTTGTTTCAAAGAAAAGCAACAGGGCCAAACATTGGTTCTTTGAAAAAATAAAATAAAATGAATAAACCCCTAGTAAGAGTGATCAAAGGTAGTCTGGGTGGTGGAAATGGTTAAGCGCTCAACTACTAGCCAAAAGGTTGACGGTTCGAACCCACCCAGAGGTGCCTTTGAAGACAGGCCAGGTGATCTGCTTCCAAAAGGTCACAGCCTTGAAATCCCTGTGGAGCCATTCTACTCTGCACACATGGGGTCACCATGAGTCAGAATCAACTCAACAGCAACTAAAAACAACAACAAGAGTGATCAAGAAAACACAAATTGCCAATATCAGGAATGAAAAAGGGCACATCTCTATAGATTCTATAGAGAATAAAATTATAGAAAGATAACATTATGAGCAACCTTAGGACAGTAAATTTGACAACTTAGATGAGACGGACACATTCCTTGAAAAGCACAATTTACCAAAAGTGACACAAGAAGAAATAGAAAATCTGAGTACTGTATCTGTTAAAGAAAT